TGATTAAAAAGGTGAATAAATGTTGGTCAGTAACTGACCTGGTGCCTCTACTTGGTAAATGTAGTGTAGGACAGAAATAGTTCTGTTTCTCACCACACGTCTCTACCTGCTTTCATTTCAACCCATCCTTATTGGTCCTTCTAAATACAGAACTTGTTTTAATTTACGGTGTCAGTATGTTACATTCTTTTACTCTGTACACATTAAAGGCAACATTATCTGAACTGTACACTTGATCCTGTGATGTCTGTGAAACTGTACCTGTGTGCTGTGGTGTCAGCACTCCCTCTGCTCCTAACTCAGGTTAGSTTTCTCTCCAGACTTCTGCATCTGCAGGAAGACAACAGACATCTGGTCAGGTTTCAGTATCAGCTCAGGAACACAGGGAAAACATTCAGAATTAAGTTCAACAACAAGACACGATGACACACAACAGACTCACAACAAGACACGATGACACACAACAGACTCACAACAAGACACGATGACACACAGCAGACTCACAACACTTAAGAAATAAAATGTTAAAACATAGTTTCATCAAACGTCCAGCAGGGGGCAGAGGGGTTTGAAACCAACAGAACTATTAACTGCTGAAAACTAACTGAAGCAGTCAGGAACCTGAAAACCAGATATCAACAATGGCCTGAAGGTGGCTCAGTTGGTAGAGCTGATGCCTCTCAGCAAGAAGGTTGCCGGTTCAAATCCTGGTCCAGGGACCTTTCTGGGTAGAGTTTACATGTTCTCTCTGTATGTGGGTTCTCTCTGGGTACTCCAGCTTCCTCCCACAGACCAAAAACATGACTGTTAGGTTAACTGATAACTCTAAATTGTCCCTAGGTGTGAGTGAGACAGTGAATGGTTGTTTGTCTCTGTGATGGACTGAGACCTGTCCAGGGTGGACCCCGCCCCTCGCACTGACTGCTGGATGTGGACACCAGTGACCCTGAAAGGAAGAAGCGTGTACAGAAAATGGATGGATGGACTGAAGGCCAGAAACGTCACTAAAACACAAGAAATAAGTAAGTGTGAGCAGATGGAAATCTATGATTTGATCTTTCGCTTGGTTTAAATTTAATCCTTTATCCATCTAACCCAGGGGTCTGCAACCTGCGGCTCTGGGGCCACATGTGGCTCTTTGGTCCCTGTACAGTGGCTCTTTGAAAATGTGACCAAACATAACAGAWTTTTTTTGTTCTTGTTTTTATACCAACAACAGAAATCAATTTGTAAGCACATCAATACTACTAATACAAAAAGTAAAACATGTTAGCTTATGCTAGCCTGTTGTTTATTTAAATAATCCAACTTTTGTCTTTCTCTCAAATCCATCAGTATTACCTTTAAAGAAAATTAAAAACTGCATAATAAGAATTAGAAAAAAAATAAGCCTGAATAATTCAGTTGTACTATTTTTTTGAAATTAGGTATAAACTATATAAAGTATTTTTCTTGTTTACATGAATATAGTCTTTGTATTTGTCCTGATGGGTAAAAATAATAATAATAAAAAAATTTGCAATATATTTTTTAGTTTTATAATGTCACCTCCACTGGCCATAAAGGCTCTAGAAAAGGCCTTGAAAAGGCCCACAGACCACCAGACGATAATCACAGTTGTAGCTTATTTCGCGGCTCTGAACACATTTTATTTCTGCGTCAGCAGCAGAAATGGCTCTTTTGATTGGAAAGGTTGCAGACCCTGATCTAACCATTTTCTTTACTCACTCTTTCACTCAGGGTTGTGGGGAAACTGGTGCCTGTCTCCTGCAGTCATTGTGTGAGAGGCAGGGTACACCCTGGACATGTGGCAAGTCCATCACAGGGACACAGAGACTAATCAGATACACAACCATTCACCCTCTTACTTACACTTAAGGAAAATTTAGAGGTACTGATTAACCTTCTATACATGTTTTGGTCTGAAGTAGAGTGAGAACACCCATGTCCATTTTTAGAAAGCACAGAATTTCATTTCACTTTTATGCAGATGATTGTCAGGTCCCCTCAAGAAAAAAAGACTCATTCTCCACTGAACCAATGCCTTGTCATGTCTTGAGGACTTTACAGCCTGGATAGATTTCAACATTTTTGCACTTGAATGAGAGTTTTACTGTTTTTGTCTCTCTAAGGTTATGCTTTTTGGCACATTGACTGATATCCCACTTGTGGATTTACAGTCATTAATCGTTTTTCCATCCAGTTGTACAGTGAATTTTTATCAAAATTTCCAAAATTCGCAAAAAATTCAATAAATTTAAATTCGAATCTAGACTGTTTCCATCTAGTTTCCCTCTCAACTGTTTGATGTGAATAAATGAGGCTARGCAACGCGTGATTACGTCAGACGAGGCTATGCAAGGCGTCATTACGTCAGACGAGGCTACGCAACGCGTCATTACGTCAGACGAGGCTATGCAACGCGTCATTACATCAGACGAGGCTACGCAACACGTCATTACGTCAGACGAGGCTACGCAACGCATCATTACGTCAGACGAGGCTATGCAACACGTCATTAAGTCAGACGAGGCTACGCAACGCGTCATTACATCAGACGAGGCTACGCAACACGTCATTACGTCAGACGAGGCTACGCAACGCATCATTAC